AAACATGGATGCATATATATTGTAACATCATCAATAGAATTATACTGCAGAAAAATATGCAAGATTAAAAAAAAACAAATAGCAAGCACCTCAATAGGATCTAACTTATAATGGACGTATAATCCATTTAATTTCAAAATATTCATTAGGAAAGTGTCCAGCAGAAGGTTATTCTGAAACTGCCTAGATTCTTTGGAACAATTAATATTAATAATGGGTCTTTTACCATTTTTAAGTATTAGGCTGCATCAATCTAGGCCTTTGTTTATATGGCTTGGACTTTTAAAATCACTGGGTGATTTTATTCCCAATATGCACTGGGACAATGGCACACCAATTTGTAATTATACAATTCACCTTAAAGTGATATTGCTGGGCACTAGACCCTGTTTATGGGGAATAGGGCAGTCCAATTAAGTGAAGATAGAGATGTCTTCCCACATGCAACACGGTTTTATATCCCTAATGCACACTTTCCATGCTAATAGGTTTGCGACCCATTAGGATTCATTCCTAGTGAATAAATAATTTAGATTGGTAGGAAATATTTTCATGATCAATGTCAAGAATTCCAGGATGTGAAGTACATTCTCTGAACTTGAACCTTTGTAAGCTATTTTGGATATAGTATGATACGTAGAATAATTTCTTGAAGTTGCCAGATATCTATTTTAGGGTCCTGCTTCAAATATCTATTTTAGGGTTCTGCTTCTCATTTTCAATAGTTCAAGCATCCTAAAATAGAACACATACCCTCTAGTTTTAGATTGATATGCAATGGGCTACCTTTGACCCCAACATTCTCTAACACCAACTTGCTTCTAGACAATAGTGGAATAAAATTGCAAGGTATTGAATACTGTATACAGCATTCCTTGTAAATAAATAATAATGATACAAAATCTTTGATGGTTTGAGTCATCACTTCCAAACAAGGGACTTATGAAAATAGATTTTACATGTGTTTCTACATAAAAAGGTACAGTGGGCTTTCTATACATTAACTTCCATGCACAGAGGCCAAAGAGAGACCAAACTTCTTTTCATGATTCAGAGACTTTGTAATGAATAAATTAAGCTTTCATTCAAAACGTTTGTCCTCTGTGCATGAAAAGCAATGTTCTCCTTGAATATGTATGCCCCCCTTGTCTTGCCTGAGAGTAAAATCTTACTACTTTCTATAAAGTTGGAAAATTGTCTTATTTTTTATTTCACACTCAATCCTTTCCAAAATAGATTCTATCAGCAACCAACCTGATTATGCTGAAATAAGGAGCAGCATACATATAGCACTAGTAAATCAAGGAAGATTTCCTTCTATTCTATCTATGGAATATTGTTATATGTTATACATCATCACCTGAACTGCAACTGCTCCTTCGGCTGCTTCCTTTTGATAGAGCAGGAGACACAGAAGATAAAAGAGGGTCTATCCCAAGTGGTGATATTGTATCATCTAGTAATATTTCTTCTAGTCTCTGTTCTTTTAAGGCAGCACTAAAAGACAAGTCTGTAAAGTGGGAAAGTGGATCAGAAAAGGCAGCAGCTGGGTCATGTAGATCAACATCTTGCTCTTGAACCATGGCTAGGTGTTGAATATAGTCTATTGAATTCTCTTCTGGATATGCCTGTTGCCTCATGACCCTGGATGCTAAGTCAACCACACTGACTGAAGACATCATTGGTAGTCCATGGGCATGTGCTTGTATTTCTAGCTCCTGTGTTAGAAAACAAAATATTTAGAGAGCAGGATTAAAAAAAAAATCATAGGGATTCCATGCATCTCAGTATTATGTCTGGTGCAGTTCTGAAACCTAGTCTGACAGTATGCTTAAAATGTAACATACTAATGCGACAAGCCTAGTTTTTTGTGTCTTTATAAAGCCATATAAAGACTACATAATAGCCATAATGATGAACCATGGACTCTTGGTATGATTTGGGAGTCTAAGATTCAAGCACAAATATAAATACCTTGGTTCCATTTCAGGAACAAAAAGTCAGGGGGAAAAAATACTCTAAGGCATTTTCCTTCTGAAAAATGGAAAATGGATTATGAGATATTTCATAACACTTTATTTTGTAATGATAACATAAGTTGTATCATGATATATAAAATGGCCAAGTTGCAAAAGTAATTAATCTATGATTGGAAATCAAGATATCCATTTAAAATATTATCTTAGTGCAAGACCACTAAGTTTCCAAAAGGTCCATAAAACAATAATATTATAATTAAATTATTTTATAATAGAATGATAAAAATAAAGGCTTAGAAGAAATTAAAACTGTTGGAGGGGAGGTTCAGTTTCTGAAAAAGGAAATTCTTTATGCACTGCCTTTGTGACAAAATATATAATCTGAGCTTCTTCACAATTTTTCTGGAAAATCAGTGTTTTCTGCATCCAGAATACACACACATCCATAAAATTGACAATTTTTTTCTGTTAACAGGATTGTTTTTTCCTATCAGATTCTTTAAATAGGCAAAAGAATGCTTCATTTTAAAGCTAAGCATTTTGCATATGCATTTGCATAAAATATTTCTTAAAAATAAATTCAATTAATGTTACAATTATTCTCTCAGCACAATACACTTTCACTTTAATATCTCCCAACAATAGAAAGAGAAAGAGAGAAAGAAAGGAAAAGGAAAAATAAAGAGAGAGAGGGGGGGGGGAGAGAGAAAGTCAAATATTTGAATAACTAATGAGTCTGAACTAAACATCTGTATAGAGTGCTAAAAATAAGGCTTTTATTCCATTTTTCTCCAAAATTTTCAAAGCAAAACAAAAACATTTTTCTTCCTTTGCTTCAGAGTTTCCAGAAATATTAAATATCTAGGTTTATCCTTTATTACTTATGACAGGTGAGATTGGAAACCTTTTCTTTCTCTTTATAAGCTAATGAAATTTTAGCATCATTCCTACGTTGCTTATACCTTATAATTGATTGAATTAAACCAGTTTTAAACATTTATAAATCAAGCTGTCTTTTCCATAAAGTAGAAATTGATTTAAACTGTATATATGTATGTGTGTATCTTTCAATATTTGTAAACTAACCCAACTAGCAATACTGTGTACATAACAAATATTAAAATAGTATAATGATGTAATAAACAAAAATATTATAAAATATTAATAATAATATTAACAATTTTAAATTTACTAATTTGAGAATATTAACATATACATATTTTAATAATCTAAAATATTATCAGGTGGTCTTCCTACTTTGCTTATAGATGCAATTCTGCTGATAGAATGAATTCTTAATATCCTCCATGATACAGGTGACCTCTGAAGAAGACAGAAGTCAGATACGATACTGAGAAAATGAGTGAGAGGGAGTTCTAATGTATGAATAAAGAATGGTTGCTTAATATAGCTATTTAGCAGGGCTTTTTAATTATGGGGAAGCAGTGATCGTATGGAGGCAATTGCCTGGGCTTAACTCATATTGGGTTCATCTCCAAAGAAATTAAATTATCTGAAATTATCAAGATCACATTTTTAATTCATGTCAAAAAAACCTAATCAGTTGAAGTATGATCCTAATAGATATTCTATTAGAAATTCTCCACAAATTCCCACTGTCTGGCTTCTTGAATTCAACAGACCAAAAATAATCAAAGTGGGGGACCTGACTCAAGTACATGTTTTGCTGCATACCTCTCAGAATTTTAAAATGCCCACAATTTCACATGTTGCACTGTGATTGTTTTTATAGAAACAATTATTGTTTCCAGTAAACATCTATTTACAACGTTATGTATATTCCAGCTAAAGTATTTTCAAATCCTCTAATTTCACTGAGTGTTTTTTAGTGCTGTGTTACTTAGACTTGGAAGTCCTATTGATCTTACTGGAGTTTAATACTCTGTTATCTAAGATCACCATACCTTACAACATAGTCCTATACATGTCTATTTAATTTTAATTTAAGCTATGGCAAACCACTTCTGAAATCTTGCAAAGAAAACTGCAGGGACTTGTCTGCATTATTGTGGCTGATGATTATTCGCTTGATTTTGGTTGCACTATTTACCTCTGAAAATGAAACAGGCCCAAGTGGGTTTTGCTTTGAATTAAATACTTAAAAATGCCTGTGACTACACACTAATTCTCTTACGACATTCAGGAATGCTATCTAGAACCTTATCCAATTAAAAACTGTAGATCAATCACAGTCTATTATAGGAAGTGACCAGAAAATTACATGCTGCTTCATTTGATGTTGGACAATGTACCCCAAAATAAAAGGTTAGGAACATTTTTCAAAGTGTATCTTAAGTTCCAAGTAATTACTGTGTAGATCTATGTGTATGTGTTTTATAATCATTGAATATAGTTTGATGATGTAAAAGCTGTAGCAAAATCAAAAGATGGAGGAAGGAAGAGGTTGGCTTTGAACGAGCATTTTTCTCTACAAACCTGAATTCGTAGCAACAGTCGTCTGTTAGCCTGCTCTAATTTCTTCTCTCTCTTCTCTAATTCTTGAGCTTTCTGTTGTTCTTTCTGTAACCACTTGATATATTCCACTGATGCCTTTAAAATAGTTCCTTTATTCCAGCGCATATCACTGTAGAAAGTAATGATAACCTTTTCACAATTGTGCATGTCAGCAAAATTTATAAAAATGTACAAAATCTTTTATATTAATATGAAATAATGATTTACATGACCATTATTCACACTTAGATATTATTGCTTCTGAATGGAAATTTTAATAGAATAGTTAAAAAGCCCTTATATATTAAAATTAATCCCAGAATGAAAATAAATGTCAAAAGAACATAATAAAGTGACTTTTTTGGTGTAAGATCTAAATGCAGATTCATGATTCTACTTTTATAGTCTTTATATTTTTAGTAAAAATGCTTTTGTTATTAACTTTGATTAAAATCTGTGTAGAATTCTCCATTAATGAACTAAGAACCATACATTACTGACAATTTAAGCATAAATTTCTGAATATAATTTAAAATTTATAACTCTTTTCACCTGATTTTCTAATGAGCATATTTTTATTCTTATTTGAATAAAAGGTTTTATCTAATTTTGATATTCAATGTTAATAGTACACCAAAATCATAGTTTAGTTTTAGCAACAATTCCACATCATATTTTAAAACCCATATGATTAAAATAAACTGAAACAAACTTTTCTATAAAATACTATATGAAAATGCTTTGTATATCTAGGCTAATATGATTTGTCACTGTTAATAGGGAAATACTGACTCCAAAATGGCATTTATCTTATAAGTATGCTATTTCAAGTACAATGTTAAAAATATCTTACCACATGGACCAATATATTATATGTAGATTATCAGTTAAATTGGAATCTAAAATTACCCATTAACTAACACAAAAATTGACTCCAGTAATCTGCCACTTTAGATGAAATGTCCACACTAAATATGACATCTAAAATTCCTGTCTGCTCCATTTTTTTTTGTATTTTCTTTTTACTTAAATTCTAAATACAATGATAAAAATGACAGGTGAACTCACGGGTCATTAGACTTTGGAATAAGTGTGCCAAGCTCTTTGATCCGGTAATTAATGTTATACCTTCTTCTTCTTTCAACTATAAAACAAGATATCTTTATAGCAACAAAGTTGTTCTGTTACAAAACACCATACTCTCTTTCAAAATTCACAGTATTTCTACTTTGTAAAGCTTGAAAATATTTAATCTGTGAAAGCCATTAAATAGCTAGTTTAACTATCCTGAGACAACTTCTTTTAAAAAGAGAAAAATAATCAATACCAAAATATTTATCTTTAATGAAAGAACACCTAACTCTTCATCTAAACTATGCAGCTAACAAAGATTTTATAGGAATGTAATGTATAAGATAAATGTAACAATGTGTACCTCTAACATTCAATCAATCTGTTTATTACAGCCATAAGGCCAGACATAATCAAAATATAACAACAGTGACAATTTTACTTCCATATTTACAGAATATATAATATTAAGGCTTTGTGTTCAAATAATAATTGTAATTCTCATTTGATTTGACAATGAACTAAAATTGTGAATCAGTGCTCAAGGATCAGTGCTTTTATCATATCAGACAAGTTATTTTGATTTTGAAAGGCTGCAAAGAGGTGATAATACCATTCATGTGTTTGCTGTCATTTGAATGAAAATATTTAATTTAAAATCTCATCCATGTTTACTTAAACAAAGGTCTAGCTTTGATCTTAAAAATATATGTTTTATTCTTTCATAAATTATAAATCTTGATTACCATTCATGCTTGAAAATTTGGTGAAAAAACTGCCTAATAGTACATAACAAATATACTTTAAGTTTTTTAATTAGTTTAAAAATGTTTTTGAACAAACAGAACAAGTCACTTTTTGATTGTAAAATATCTTATAGGGGAGGGGGAGAGGGTGGAGTTAAAAGAGGAATCAGCTTAGAATCTCTATGTGGCCACAGGCCAAAGTCCAACCTCTCTTAATTCTAGTGATCCTTATTTAACTTTTAGCAGGTGAGAATATTGCATAGGCATGAGTGGCATTAAATCACTTTAATTGGACCTTCTTGTGTGGACCTGATCTTTCACACCTGACATTTTTACATTTAATATCTGCTTGTTGCATGCAGCCATCCACTTGCTTTATATTATTATAGAACATTATGGCACAGTTAGTGGTCATTGTCACCAAGATGACTATTCAGAAGTAAGAATATCAAGAATATTATTGAAATTATTTGACGCAGAGATATAATTTATTTGGAATGTGCAGTTTCATTTTAAGATGCCATGAAGCATGATGCATATATAAATTGCACGAAAACAATGGGAATAATGTACAGTCCAATTATGTTAACCTCACCAATTCATGCATAATTCAATACAATAGTATTAAGTGAAGTGGGATATTGGTTTCATTACTTAGTTTAAACTGGATAGGAAAATACAATTTTCCTAGATATCTAACCTTATAGCATAAACTTATTACAATTTATTAATGGTAAGATGATATGGGCTACACACACAATCTCTGCAAATTGAGCATTCTGCTCTTTCTCCTAAAAATCCACACAGCACACAGCATAGAAGCAATAGGCAACATATCTAAATTAATACAAGGTACTAAAGGACAATAATGCAGTATTATCAATATTTAATAATTTGGGGTAAAATCAAAAACAATATATGAAACTGAAATGCCAAAGGAGCCGTGGTGGCACAGTAGTTAGAATGTAGTATTGCTGGCTAATTCTGCCCACTGTAAGGAGTTCAAACCTGACCAGCTCAAGGTTGACTCAGCCTTCCATTTTTCCAAGGTCAGTAAAATGAGGACCCAGATTGTTGGGGGCAATATGCTGACTCTGTAAACTGCTTAATGAGTGCTGTAAAGCACAATGAAGTGGTATATAACTCTAAATACTATTGCTATTTCTAAATGGCCAAACCAGCAGGAACCATTATAGTTGGATAACATCAGACATGGACAAATTTAAAATATGATTAATAAACAATACATACAAAAAGTGAGAAAAGATCATAACACTGACTGGTTGTTTCGTGGTACATGTAATGCAATCAGGATGCAAATCTTCTCTGAGTTTTCTCCTTACGTATTTTATGCCATCACTACCAAACAGGGAGATCTTGGTCCATCACTTGGTCCATCACTCCAAATAATACTGTCCCATTGTTCCTCTGTCCAGGTAACATGGGTTTTAGCCCAATTTAGTCTTTTCTATCTTTGAGAGATAAAAGTGGCTTTTTTTTTTGTGGAATTCTAGATTTTAGGCCAAATTCCTGCAGTCTGCTCCGAACAGTCCTTGCACTCAACTTCACATTGCATTGTGCCATTTCATCTTGTATACACCCAGAGGACTTTCTTCTGTCATGCAGGCACAGTCTCTTAATTCTTCTATCATCACTTGCTGTTGTGCACCTTTTCCTGTCTTTACCAGTGTGGTTTTGTAGTGACCGAGTCTCCTTATACCTCTTCAAAAACTTAGAAATGCCACCTTTGGTTAAGTTTCCACCAATTTTTCTTCTAATTTCTTTATAACTGTAGCCTTGTTCACATAATAATACTATTTTACATCACTTTCTGGGTGACTAGTCAACTCTTTGCACCATTACTTTAAATTTATTACGTTTTACAAGCTCACTAAATGAAAGAACACAAAAAAACCCCAAACCGACTTGATAGCGATCACATAACACAATTGACAAGTGTCCTCCTCTCAGCTTCAATACATGACATCAATTATTGGCTACAATCAGATGAAGGAAAGCTATCTAAGCAAGTTGTGCTTCCTTTTTCTGGTTATTTGGCTATAACTTTTCATAGATTACAGATAATGAACAAACTTTGTTGCATTACATTCCTGATTAAATTATCTTTCCAACGATATATAATTTTATGGTACTACTCTAAACAAAAGTGGTGTTATTAGCCATCAAACCTCAAATGTACACTTTTCCCATAAGGTTTCCACAATTTTAGCCACTACTGTAAGCATAAGAAGAATGATGGAAACACCATCAAATGCATCCATACTTGGGCCATACCTATGATACAATACACTGCTGGAATTATGAATTGGACACAACTTGCACTGGCCAATTTGGACTAAAAACAAGAAAGTAAATGATGATTCACTATGCATTACATTTCCATAGAGCAGGGGTGTCAAACTGCCGGCCCACGGGCCGGATTCATCATAGTGAAACCAGGCCCACCCCATTGCCGGCAATGGCAAAAAAAGTCACGATACATTATGACACGTCACCTGATGTTGCGAGTTTGACACCTCTGTCATAGAGATATTAATAGATGATGTCTTCCCTATAGAAATGGAAAGGTTTACTTCAAGAAAAACAAACTGTCAAACAAGAAAACAATTACATAAAAGACAGCAAGAACAGGCACTGATGCAAGTTTAAATTGGAACCTATTGAATGTGTAGGTAACAAAATAATATAATAAAAACAAGAACAGAATACTGGCATGAAAAAGCATTACATGGTCAACTTTTATAAAAGATTGAGGGGAAAGTGGATAAAGGTAAAATCTGGCAATGGGTTACAACTGGAACATTAAAAAAAGAAATGGAAGACATGATTTTGTCTGAGAAATTGTGAGAGAAATTGTCCATTTCAATTTTTCAGGTCTATCCCCTTCACACAAAAAAGTTTTTTCAGTCTTTCTTCAACAATAACTCTAAAGCAAACAGTTATTTCCACAGTCTATTAACAATAGTAAATATTTGGAAAGTGTTAAGTGTACTTACTGAGATTATGGTTGTTCTTTTTTAGTCTCTCTTTTGTGATTGCTTGTGTATCTGTGAAAGAAATAAAAATCTATTTAAACAGGTCATAGATTACTTTATATGAACAATTATCTTTTTACAAATAAGATTTTAAGAAAAGTTTTACCATCTCAGATTTCCTAATTCTTTTGTTACTTCCTGCTTCCTTGTTGTTTACAGCATGTGCTGACTTTTTAAAAATATCATGCATTTTTAATTTTTAAAATTCTGTGGAAGCAGTATCCAATTTGTTGTACTTTACATTGTGGTGATAGAAAACTTTATAATACTTTAAAGTGAATAAAGTTTCCTATTATTATCTTGCCAGGCATAATCAGATTTGTATGTTGAAGAAAGAGGAAGAAAATCATCTCTTTGTTCCCTTTAAGTTGCACTGATAAACTGCATGGTTGTTAACATTCTTTAGATTAATTGAATGAAAGTCTGAAAGATGTTAATTCATTAATGTGGTGAATGGCTGTATTGTGAACCTTTAAAAGAGTCACTTATGATGACCTGGAACAAATGTAATGGATGATAATTTATTTATATCATGGGCCAGAAGTCAAAATATGTGCAGATCAATTTTGTTTCCTATAGTAATTACAGCCATTAACTGCATGTGTCTAGATATAAGGACCAGCAAGGACTACCATGACTTTCATTGTTAGGGATATTCACTTCAGAACAAATACAGTAGATAAAAATGTTTTGAACCAGATCATTCTGATTCAGGGAGGCTACTAAATAGAATGCTAAATGGCTAACAGTGTTCCCTACCTGTTCTCCACATTTCATAATTCATTACCAAGAGAGAAAACAATCACATGGATGGTTTAAAACCAGTTAATAAGAAATTAGAGAGTAGAAACAGTACACTGTGAAGGTGTCCAATGTGTATTAAATGTTTATTTAAATCACTTCTACTATGTTTTCAGTTTGCATGATTACATTTGTTCTACAAACAGACAGACACTTCAGCCTTTGTTTAAACAAGCTTTTTAGTGTGCCAAACTGTCAAAGCTGTATTACCTGTTATTTCCCTTTTAACTGGAAAATTAGAAGGACAGGAAGTATTGGTAAGACCCACATTGGCAGCTGTCATTCCTTGGTCACTGTTGTATAAATCCAGAATGCTACTTGAAAGCTTTGAAAAACACAGAGAGTGAAAGAAAAAGACATAAAATTAGATATGGAAGAATGAAAATAAATTCATGATTTTATCATGGGAAAGACATATATAAGTACTTAAGAACAAAATTCCATTTCAGATGCGTATTCATGTCTTAATCTCAATGGGAACTACATCTAAAAAACATACTTTGCCTTTATCATGTATAAAATAAAATAAAATGTTAAGGGTCAAAATTGCCATTGTTCCATATGCAGAAACTAGGAGGAGGATGATTTGAGTTTTATATGCAGAATGATGCCTGATTATGGCACCTGATGTCTGATTTTGAATTAATGCCATAGCATATTTTCCAATAACAGGATTACTGCTACTACACTGCAAATATGAGTTAAGTTGAAAGTGAAAATAACCTTGCTGATCTTACCTGAGACCCAAATGAATTTCTAACTATCTCCCTGAACTCACTTGCTAAATTGTTTGTGTTTGGTGCAGCATACAAAAAAGATGCAGTTATGCAAAGCATCTTAAAATAGACCTGGATAGAGCATAGGAGACCATGTTGTGGGCAATTGTCTTGCAAAGGCATTAGGAGAAATTAGGTAGGTAATTAATTATCTATTTGCTATGTAGACATAAATTTTATAATCTGCTATTTGATTATTCATTTCTGACCATTAATATAAAATCATTCCAAACATAAAATTAAGCTTCTATTTTGTTGGGATTTTTAAAATAACTTTCAAATTTGTAATGCCCTTGATTGATAGGAATAGTTGATTCATACAGAAAAACTAGAAGTAACAGCTTTTTGTGTGTCTGCAATTTCCCCCCATAGATAGATACTACATGATTTGGAAAAGGAACTGTTTCCAGGGTTTTAACTTGCTAGCCAACTGGCTGGCTACCCAGTAGACATACAATCAACCTTCATCTGCTCTTATGTAGTGCCCTACATAATGTTTTAGTTTTATTAAGATTCTATGGCCCCAAGGGTGTGCTTTTTATTCTTTTCAAGATCAGTACACAACAACTGATTGTTTTGTCCTGTTTGTTATATAGCTACATGGGACTCTTACAGAATACAAGTAAGGAGTAATGAGAGAGAGATAGTAGTTAAGGCACTAGGCTAGAAACTGGGAGAATGAGTTCTAGCCTGCCTTAGGCATAAGGCCAGCGGGGTGACCTTGGGCCATTCTTCCACACTCTTTAAGAAATAAGCAATGGCAAACCACTTGCCAAGGGACTTCTCCAGTCACTCCAGGAGTCAAGACTAATTCAAAGGAATCAAAAAACCCAAAACCAAACCAAAAACAGTATAAATGAGATATCAGAAAACAGATGAAATTAATCAAAATAAACAAATATCTAAAATGCATCATAACCCATAATATCAGTATACTGGAGTATTTAACTCTATATCCAAAGTAAATGTAAATATAAAAACCAATTAACATTGCAATTTTATTTGCAAGATCTGATGTTTTTTATTAAAATGATAAAAACACTGTTGCACTGTGATACTTTCATGCCTCTGAATTTTTTACATACGCAGAAATAAGCTCCATAGACCTTAAAATGGTTAGCATATGCCATATTCAAATCTAATAATGTTAATAATATCAGTAGCAGTCAGAAGCTATTTTGGTGACTTTGGGCTAATATTACCTTTGAGTCTAAGCTTCTATGAAGGATTGTTATAAGAATATATGAGGGTGGAAACTTGTGTAATTCATTGAGCTTTCAGGATGAAAGATAGGATGCAAATGTAATAACCAATAAATAAATATTGAAAAAAACATTTTATTTTCTTATATTTAAAACTTCTACCATTTCATCATATCTCAATGGTACATTTTAATCATGACCTTTCTTCATCCCCAGATAATGACCGAGTGAAAAACTAGAGATGGAAAAACAAAAAATGGAATAAGCTGTCTTTAAGAAGAGAAAATGAATGAATATATTGAAAGTAGTAAGAATAGGAATAGGAATAAGAATAAGAATAAGAATAAGAATAAGAATAGTGGGCCATATGTATCTTGTAGGTACCAAACAGGACATGAGCATTGCAACATCTACCTTGGAAACTGATGTTAAAGGGGATTCTATCTCAGATATTGGATGAAATTAATAACCATTGATAACCTTTAAGATTTAATGTAACCTTTTTCAATCCATCCAAAAATCTAGTTTCTTCTATATTTTTAGCAGCAGACTTCCCTTCTTTGTCCCAACTTTGCCGAAATCAGCTTCTTTGGATGACTACCAAATTTTTCCTCTATATGTGTATGTATTTTCTATCCTGAATTTGAAACATGCAGCTTTGTGTACAATTTATTCAACAAATCTTGTTCATTATATGTCTTGATTCAGCAGTTTACAGTTCTGCTGTGATTTTTAGCAGATTTTTTCACATCATAAAAATCACCTGTTTTTATTCACATCTTTCACATATGGTCAGTGTCCCTGAGATATCCAAATTTTAATGTAAATATTTACATAATCTTTTATGGATGCTGCATAAATTTCCTAATACAGATTTTTTAAATGTAAAAATATTTTTAACACTTAATTATCCTCCTTTTTATACGCAATATTTAAAATATACATTTTACAGTTCAAAGAACTTGGGGTGGGGTAGGTTTTTCTAAAAATGCAAATATCAAACATTAGAAAGACTATGTTAAATATTCTCCTGGGTGGAATTTATTTTGGCAGATCTCATTAATCAATTCATAATTGATGGTGAATTATTCTTGGATCTGTAATAGAATGTGTGAATGAGAGTGGAGAATGAGGGAAAGAGATGCTGCTTAGGAAGCCATCAGACAATAGAGACAGGAGCCCCCAGTAGCTTAAAGGTCAAAGGAAGTAACTTATGAAGGGCCTGCCCTAATGGATCAAGTCGTTTAAAGAGGCGATGGGAAGTGGAATTTTTATAACTTCAACTTGCAAGCTTCTGTTAATGTAGCCTTAAAATAAAGCAGAATTAGCTCATCTAGTCTTGCTTCATGTTTGGTTTTTCTGAGATGGCTGACAATACCCTAGTCTAGGTAAACACGTTCAGTTCCAATGTACTACATGTTGAACTTCAGTGTAAATATAAAAAATGTGGAGAATCTTGGTAATTTTGATGGAATCAGGTTTAATGGACTAGCATACATTCCATCAGTATGGATTATCAATAATATGTATAATGTTGGGACGCCGAAGGAATCAGGATAGTTACCAAAAAAATGAAAAGAAAATATGAAATTATATGAAAAGAGAAAAGGATACAGTGAACATTAAGAAGGGAGTTCTGATTATAAAGTTAACATTATCGTAGGAAGGTTAATTTATTAATAACTACTGTACATATTAGAGTTTCACTAAATGTTCACCATACATTTGTGAGTCTGAGTGTACAATAAGTATTTGTATGGCCTGCCAATTTAAGACAATACCTTATGCATTTGAAGGAGTGTTTTCCAACTTTGTGGCTGCCATGGAGAAACAGACAAAAATACATCAAGAAATAAAATAACAAAAGGTACATTTTTTGTAGTGAGCATCAGGTAGCACTATCTAACTCTAAGCTATATAGAGCCTTTGGTTCAAACCCTCTGCCAGGTGAGAACAGCAAGAGTTTATTATTCTCTCTTAGCACGACCAAACTCATTAGGTTTTTGCAAAGATTCAGTGATGTATACACTGCTTTCAAAAGAAGAATGAGATACTTATCATGCTGACAGCAGGACTGACTTGATGCTCTGTTTAAAAATGTTCTCCAGAACTAGATATCTTCTTAATCAAAATGGGAAGCAGGAGGAGGAGGAGGAGGAGAAAGAGATAAATGAAAATACCTTTTCACTAATTGAATCATTCTGTTTGGTTTTCTTTCTTATATTCCATTCTTCACATTTAAAATGGAATGAGGGACTGAGTCTCAAACTAAATGGGCTGTAGAATATCTATGTGTCAGCTATTACATCTCAATTCTTGGAATACATCTACATCGTATTGATTTTTTTCTGTTATCTCTTTCTGAAATGCTTGCAGCAATGTACAAATAGGAATCAAAATCCTATCTGTAGGCCTTTGAATAAAGCAGCAACATCTATGAAAAAAATAGCTAATATACAGATAAAGAAATTGGTCACGATTTCTACAGTATTATCCTTATTTTATTTTAATGAGAAAAGCTAATGTAAACTCTACATCATTACAGTAATCAAAGATTGACTAATGGTAAAAAGCAAATCTGCAGCCAATGTAAATTGGCTTCTTACATACTAAAAATATTCTATAAGATAGCTGTCATTCTGAAACTACAGACATACACTAAGCAAGTCATGAAATGTAGAAAAATATTTCGATTCATATTGTTTTCGTACCTGTGGCAGTAAACTATTCAGCCAAACTACGTCTCTTCCATTTCCTTCTCCCCTCTGACAAATAAAGCATTGTGCACAATGCTAATATCCATGTTGAATTATTAACACAGCAAATGGTTAACCAGACATCTTTAGACAATACAACTGCAGAAACATGAAGAACTCACCAACCAAATTAAATTTCAGATATGCTCTGGTAATAGCTAATTGAAATAAGAAAAAAACATTTTTGTATTTGTATTTTATTTGATTGAAATATGGAGGGTTTTTTGTGTATGCCCCTGTTATATGCAGTCAGGTAGAGATTATGATGAATATAATCAAATTTTTGTCATTCTTTTCATTATCATCACCTTTTTTAAAAAAATGCCTTGCTTTTTTATTTATATAAATAACTCAACAAGGTAGCAAATATATCTAATGTCCCTTCCTCCTCCTGTTTTCCCCACAATAACAGCCCTGAGAGGTGAGTTGGGCTGAGAGAGAATGCCTGGCCTAAAGTTACCCACTGTGTTTCATGCCTAAGGCATGGTCACCTGGTGCCTTAACCACTAAACCAAACTGACTCTCAAAAAAATTCAATGTGGCTCTTTTGGGTCCCTTAGCATAATTTTACAAAGCTGTTTAGTGAAGTAGATAAGATGAAAAAACAGTGTCCAATATTTCAATAATTTTATGAAATAGCCCCAGTGACTTTATTTTTCTGCATGTCTGTATTTATCCTATTTAAGATATAAGAACTCTGCTGGATCAAGCCAAAGATCAATCTACTGGAGCAACCAGGTACCTATAAGACATTAGTTCATTAGTGGCCTCTGCTTCTATCTTCTTCTTCTTGTTGTGCCATATCCGTTATCGGACGTTTGCGATCATGTTGGCGATCCTGTTTTTATCAGCAGCCACACAAAAAAGTGCTGCTATTGATATTCTTATTTGATCAAGACATGTAAATTGGTGGCTTTCACTATACCTTGAGATAACAAAATTGATAACTGATAAAGTATGTAAATAGTTATTTCCTTTTGTCTGTTATAAGGAAGGATGATCACTGAGGGAACTGTCCGATCTTGACTGCCCAGTTTGGACACTTGGGATCAGACTTTGATCTTTGGTCACATAGCTCATTTAGCTATATCTGTCCAGTCTTGGGTAATGCATAACACTTCTTTCTAGCATTCATATTCCAGAAAAATTCATGACTTGTTTTTTGAATAAGTAACTTCCTATCATGACATTTGGGTCAGCTTGGATGGGTCATTTTCTTGACTATCACTTTGATTAACTGTTAAATTTTCCTATATTGGTTGTTGCTACTTTACCTAGCTCAGAAGGCATTTTACTACAAATGGTTTGATTTATTAATAGGTTTGGCAGCAATATCTGTTAAGAAAGGCCTTGGAAGCATTTTAGTCCAATCTCTGCACAGAATAGGAATCCTCAGATACTCTACACAAATGTTCTACTGTTGTTTGAAAACCTCTAGAGATGGGGCACACTCTAGGAGATATGTTGTTCCACTGCTTAATAGCTCTAGCAATTATAAAATTATTCCTTGAATTTGGATTTGTCTCTATAAATCTTCCTTCTGGGATATCACAGACAATAAACAAACACCTTTTCCCCTGTGACATCTTCCAATATTGGAAGACAGGATAGCAGAAGACTGCTATCATGTCTTCCCTTAGTGTTCTATTCATTAGGTAGTCATACTTACCTACAACCTAACATCTCTACCTTTCTATGACCCCATTTGTAATCTGGTTACCCAATCTCTACCCACCTAGTTTACTATAGGAAACATAATTGTAGCAGTCACTAGCCACGCTTACATTTATACTTTTACCATCTTAAGGCAACATACCTGAAACAGCTGTCAGACATTGAATCTACAGATACATCACATTCATGTCATAAATTCATACATACAGTTATAAATAACCAAATATTCTGTATTAAGAATTATTTTGTTAAAATCATGGTTGCTATCTGTCCAGAAAACTTATTTCTACATTTAGTTAATTCAAATTTTAAAATTGCTTACTTGTTTAATTTGTTCACCTGCTAATTTAACTGCTTCTAATTTAACTAGTTATCAGCTACAGTTTGTCTCAACTGAGCAGCACTCAGAGCCCATTTTTAGCCTATAATTAATTAGAAAGTATGGGGCATAGGTGGTGACAAAATATTTGGTTTGCTGCTAATTGCCAAGGAGAAAATTAAAAAATAGGTCTTCAGTTTAAACCTCAGACACACTGATTTAAAATGCAACCATCAATGACAGTGCTTCAAAAGTTTAAGAATGTAGTGGTATTTCATTAATAATGCATATGATAGAAAAATGCATTTTGTGGTTCATTTTAATTAACTAAAATAGATTTGTTCAATGTTTGTTTCATTTTTTTTATCATTTTATCTTTATTCAATTTAACTAACCAACATGTCCATGTCTTTGCAGATGAATGATCAAATATGCATTGACTATGGACCTTTTAATGCAAACTGATCCACTGCCTCTAATGCAACTACCCACACAATAAAACAAAACTATCAAAATATATTTCCCCTTCTAAACTGGAGAAGAAACAGTACAGCTTTGTGTATTCTATTTGGCCTAGCTTATATTAAGCCTGTTCAGAAACAGGCTGCAAGACTGTCTTATTAGCTGCAAGCTACAGAAATGACCTTGAAGTAACTTTAATTGTTTATTTTCAATTCTCTGTGATTTAACTGCCCATCTACAAGACCTTTCATCCTCAAGGTAACACTTGTCTTTTTACCAGGCAAGCAAAAATGCTGAGTTTGATTAGATTATATAGTAAGCAGACGGATGAGGCAGACAATATTGGAAAACCAGAACATCCAAGGAGAATAGTGTTCAAGTTAGATAATGGAAACATAGCAGTGATATTAACTAGATAACCTTTCAAGGAATAGGTCAGCAGCTGATATGTAATTTTGCTGTGGTCCTTTTCTTCAAACTAGAACATATAATGCCACAATACTCATTTCAGTGCTAGATTTCTGATCACATGAGTTTTTAACTCATTTCCAGTAGAATAAATAAATCTATCTTGGGACAGGACTGACTTTCTCATAGTGTAAAACAAGATCTTCCCTTAAGCCAGACTTTAAGGTATCTTTTCAACTAGCAGCCTGTGGTTATGTATTGAGAACAATTCTATAGCAGAATATAAAGAAACTTGAGAGTGATTAACCCAAAACTGTTGTGGCTGTCATCTTGGCTTTTTTGATCCTACCTCTCAGGCATTCGTACTAACATCTTAACCACTATACTATAATGATTTGAATATTTACTGCAATGAATATGAGAAGTCCACATCTTGCCAATATGGGACTTCTCTCATTCTACAAAAAATGAAGCATTCAATCCATATTAAAACTCACATTTCGGACTTCCGGTGGCGAGGCTTCGCCGATGGAGGCTTTTTTCTCAGCCTCCTGCCCGGGACTGCGTCAAAGCTGTCAAAACAGCGCGGATCAGCTGTTTTGCGGCTCGGAACTTTCTCCCTGGGCGAAGGGGAGAAAGTGAGTTTGGTTTGGATAGGGGTTGAGTTCCCTAGTCCCCCCAGGAATGATCCTGGGGGGATGAAGGTGTGAACTCCCCCGGAGTCCGGACCTCTTCTCCGCAGCTCGGAGTGTCTTCGCTCCTCGGAGCGAAGCTAGACGTCGCCGCCACTGCTGCTACTTTGTATCTGCTTGTGAGTAACTTTTGAACAGACAGAACCTGACAGGGGATTTTTACTTTAGTTAAATAGTGACTTTAACTCGAAGATTTTTGGGGGGATTTTTGTTACTTGCTATAAGTGAAAGTGAAAAGAAAATGGCCGCGGAAGCGTTGCTTCTTTTTAACAAAAGGAAAACTTTCACTTTCTTTCCGGTTGTGGAATGATGCATTTTAAAGGACTTTAAAGAATTTTTCTTAAGTCAAGCTTTTTTAAGTTTATACTTGCTGTTGTGAGTTTTAAAAATAATTTGGCAGAATGGCTTCAAAACGTACTAGAGTTTCTGCATTGCCTAAAACAGCTATTTCTTCTCCTGTTGTGCAAGTTCAACAACAAAAACCTAGATCTCCCCCACCATCACCTCCTCCTTCCATTACACTTAAAGATCTACAAGAGGCTTTAGCTAAGTCCTCATTGCAGACTGTGAAACAAACAGAAGAACTTTTGGATAAGAAAAATCAGGAACTTTGTGAAAANGAGTACGTCGTAATGAAATTATACAGCTCTTTTATCAGCAGAGATTTCAAATTGCTGCACAAGATATTATACTTTTAAAAGAAATACCTTCTAAGATTTTAAGAAGAAGAAAGGACTTTACTTTTTTGGCTCAGGAGTTAAAGAAGCGGCAGATGCCTTTTAGATGGGAGATTCCTTTGGGTATTGTGGTAAATTTTGCAGGGACCAGATACAGGTTAAATTCTGTTCAAAAAGCTAAAGATTTCTATTTGTCGGTCCTGAAAGCTGATTTGTCACCATCATCGACATCTAAAGCACAGGAAGATTTGATGGAGCAACTTGTTGTGGAATTGCCTGGGGCCATGTCTTTATCTGCAGGAGATCCTCAGAATCAACAAAAGTTGGGAGTGAATTCAAAGTAGCAAAGGATGACCCGTGCTGCCTATAGGCGTAAAGAGAGAGAGCAACAACAAAAAGAAATTGTATCTATAACATATTCACCAACTTCGGAGCCAGTGGGAGGGGCGAGGCCAAAGAGATCTGCAACGACAGATTTGCAGGGAATGCTTAATAAGCTTCATAAGCCAAAGGATGGTTAAGTTGATGACGCCGGAAGTGAGACTTTATTATGGAAAAGGAAGAAATTAGTTTAATATTTGAAATAATATAAAAAGAGATTTAAAATATTTGATAAACTTAAGATTGGGATTTTATTTTACTTTTCCAGCTGTGAAGAAGGAAGTATTGACTTAAGATTTTTATTGAAAGTACTGACTTGAGAGTGAAGAAAGTGAAGGAAAAATTTAAGTGTAAAATGTAAGAAAAAATCTATATAAGATGGTTGATAGATAATTAGATCTTTAAAAACTGGTTTGAGCTTAAATGTTGAAGGTGGATAGATTATATTTAGAGAAAGTATGGAGTGAATAACTATCATATAGTTTTTGAGTAGATATATTGTTTTTACTTATTGCTTTATTAGAGTTAAAGTAGGTATATATAGATTGTATTATGTTTGTTTAGTTAAATTGTAATTTAGATATGGAATGGGATGTGTTTTAATCCTGTATTTGGTTCCGGGAAGTCCAGGGGGGGAAGGGGATTAGGGGAATCATAAAAATTGATGTTTTTACATGTTAGAGGTAAACAATAATTGTATTGATAAGAGGAGATGCTCGGCTGGTATCCCAAATTGCACTCGACGAGGTGGTTAGAAAGGAGATGGGATGTAGGTAGGTGGAAAGGAGGAAGGAGGAGAGGTTGTGGGTCAGAGGGAGGAAGGTTAGGAAAGTGGATGAGGGTGGAGGCAAGGCGGGGACTGCCGAGCGTTTCCGACAATGTATTGACTTGGATTATTATTATTTTTTTCTCTCTGTTTGTGTATGTAAATGCATCATATCACTATTTGTTGTTTAATTATAAAAATCAATAAAAATTTTATTAAAAAAACAAAAAAACCTCACATTTCAAATAATTGTTCGTGGAGATTAAACTTTTAAAGGACATAGTCTACAATCTCAACTAGATCATTTTAGAGTAGCAAAACAAAGCAAAGCAAAACCCTTCTAAAATGGCATCATAAATTAGCAGTGTGTCATTAATACCCAAAAGATTTAGTGATCAAATGTTTTCTCTTCTTTTTGTCCATTCTTTTTAAAATATATATTAAGATCTTAATTTTTCCACAGAAGGAAGAGATATTGGCTGTCCAAAGGACAAATATATAGCAAACAACAAAGGTATAATATAAAAGAAGGTAAAGCATAATCAGGCTTACAAGAATTTGTTGTTATAGCCAACCCCAATAAAGTATAGTTTTAGTCTTTCTGTTGAGTTGATATCCTGGCTTAGTCTACCTAGTTGAACTGATATCAATCCTTTGCAAAAGAATTCTACACATTAAAGTGGGTTTTTCTGTAAGTGGTCTATGTGTTTGTGATTGCTATATAATTTGTATAATGATCATTTTGATGCCAAATATACATTTGTTCATGTGGTAGGTGATTTGCAGACCCCACTTTCACATTATACTAAAATGGGGCCATAAAATACATCTCCTAGACATATTCTACCTGCAGAATATCATATGTATTGATTGAAGCTTACTCCCTTTTATTGCACCCAGCCTTCAAGTTAGAAACTTTATAACTTACCCAATTTATGAAATACGAGGGTATATTTTGGGTACAATACTAAATTAAATGGATTAAATGTTAATAAGGAGAAATGGATACTGCCAACAACTATCAAGATTGCTAAGAATGTCATGCCAACTCCTATGATACTGAGATATACATTTTTAATAATTTGTGTAGAAATAAGCAACAAGAAACGTAAAATAAGCAACAAGAAACATATCATGTTATTATCAGCAATAAATGCAAAGTAAAAAGTTGAATGTCTATAAGATGCTAAGGTGCCATGATGAAGAAACACAGCCAAAGATCACTCCAAAAATGTTTGCTTTGGGGCAAAGGAGAAGCACAGTGAATGTCAGGGTTGGGCATCAATTATATTGATTTAAAAGAAATGAGGTGACCTAGTAGTTTGTTCTTTACATAGCAAGCAAGCATTTATCAACTAAATTCCAATTTATGACAAGTTTTATCTCAAACAAAAATGTTGTATAAATATTTTATGTACAAATTAGGCAGAACAAAACACCATGGCAGCTGAATCATTTTAAAAGCCTAGTTACTTCTGAACAAATATTAGTATACAGATAGATCTACAGTAGGAATACACTAGATGTCAGTGAGAGGATACAGACCACACTGAGATATAAAAGCTCTATGAAATCACATCCTCACCATAAAATTACACAATTATATCTTACTTAACCGGAAAGATGGTATTAAAATATAGTTCTGCTTGAAACCACCTCCTCTGAAATGAAAGATGAAGTCATTTTGCATGTTAAAGATGAAGTGGTATTTCTTGAAATGCTCATCTGCATATGTCTCACCATACACATGAATGCTATACGAAATAAGACAGCAAGCTTTGGTAAGAGACAAGGAAATACTGTACAACATTCTTGGGTAGTCAAAATGGATTCCATGTGCACTGTAGAATATGGCATGCACTCAATATACAATGTCTTTCCACATGCTATCCAGCTATATTTTAGCAGAACCAGAACTGAGGGGAAAGCTTCACTTTCCATTGCTGATAATGATCATCTATGCACAGCATATGGATACACTGTTTCTTTATCCTCAGTATTAGTGCATTTAGCAGTTATCAGATCAACTTGAATGTTCAGAACATTTGCCAATTCACTAAAACCAGTGGGAGCAATACTAAAAGGTCCATACAACTTTTCCTGTTATTTGCTAGAAATAGTTAATTGCAGTACATTTGGGGAGCACAGCTTATATAAATGATAAATTTATCATTTTTCATATTTATTTATTTAGGAAATTTATTTGCCACTCATCTCATATCTAATCTCCCCTCTTGAGAAATTTACTTTAAATCTTTTCAGCAAAGGGACAAACGTAATGGTATACCAAACCAACTCTTCAATTCTCATTACTCAGCCCTATTGAATCATACTATATAACTTAACTAAATAAATCGTTATTTTTAAAAACTCAATATGGACACTCTATGTAATTTGATGCTTGTTTTTCTTGTTATTTTTTGTTTTTTGGCAAGCTTATACTCATGACATACTGACAGTTGCTGAAGCTGATATACCAAATGACCTTTGATTCCTCCTTGGAATTTATGCCTGATCTAGTGTAAAATGTGCTTGACAAAGTCATTTGCCTTGATGTCTTGTTTAGCCTTTTCCAATCAGCTAAGATTAGTGATAGAGGTGTTAATATTTAGTCAGCTCCTTTCCCATCAAATATGTACTCATACTCATGGTAATTACTGACTAGAAATTGATAGTATCAACAACATTACTTCAGGTGCCATAAAGATCTAAATGTAATATTTGAGCATAGGAGTTCAAAGTAGCTAAACTTCAATTTCTGGTGAGACAAGAAGAGACAATTTTGATTTTTATTAATTGTTCATAAATGTTGAAAAGTTGGATAGAGAGAATTAGAATTTTTACTAAAGTATTATACTTAATTACAATTTATATATAGGAAAGTGTACTTCAATATTGTTATATTTGACAATAGTAAGTTTCAACAACAATTGTTAAGTCTGTAAATATATATTCTATACCATTCTTGTTCATATTTTTTCATACCTACGGGTTACTTAAATGATTAAAATCAACCAATACTAAAATAGCAAGGCATACATTCTCTTGGCAATAATTTACATTTTCATAGAAAAATGCTATCCTTGCAAATAAAAATAAAATACTAAGGAATTTGAATCATGCATGCTGTTCTGCATGAACTTTTTCTGAAAAAAGTAACTACAAACTGATGAAATATTAAAGGCATTCTAGAGAATAGATGAATCTACAACCTCACTGGTTATAATATAGTTTTACAACTTTGAACAATACAGCTTTCTATGGCACACATTTACAATTTGTAATTGCAAAAGATAGTTTGAGTGCAAGCAACACATTTTACCTGATTATAATTCCAAACTACAGTTTTCTGACCCACATTTTCAATTGTTCTTATGAAAAAGTATGCCAATTACTTACCACTCTTGGCATGAGCAGTGGTGTTTCAGAGCAACTTATCCCTTCATCATTAAAATTTGATTCCATGTTGATTATATCATCAATAACTTCTTCCATCTAATATAACAAGAATTGCTAATGAGTGAAAATGAATAGTTAATAGAGAAATTTACAGTACAATCCTATATAAGTTCATGCCAAAAGAAGATCAATGATACATACACTGAGTGAAGTAGAGAACTGCAGTCACAAAGAGCAAAAGCAAATTAAAAACAAATAATATTTGGTAAACCTATCAACTCAGAATGGTCTGAAAGAGCACAATGTCATGATCCTTCTACAATTAAATGGAATGGTTCCTATACAGTATGTGAGTTAAAGATCACCTGGAAACAACATGTAAGATTTTCTGAGTTCTTTGAAGAAAGAACAGAGAAAAAGAAATATCTACCACTTAACCAAATGGTTACTTGTTGATTTTGGGGGAAAAAATCAGAATACTCATTTGAGGAAATAGACATTGAAGTCTCTGAAATATGATTTGTCTTCAGCCAAACAAATTGATTTCACTTATTTACTGATTTCATCCTATTTCCTAATTATCTCTAATCTGCTAGAATCATCCACATGACTAATCCAAAATGCATTTCCTTCTCTCTCAGTGGGATACACATCACACAGCCAAAATTATATTGCTGTTTATGATCATAACATCTTATTAACTATTTATTGACCTCTTATTAGCTAGAATCATTTATGTGACTAACTTACAGTGATAACAGAAATAGTAAATAAGAGTAGGTAGACCAGATGGCAGAAATAATGGTTCTGAACATTTTAAAAATAACTGAATAAAATTAAAGCATTTGGGAACAATTTTCTATCCCTGGAATATCAATATTTTGGCCATGAAGCTAAGGCATGAGAATCTCAACAATTGAAATAGCTTCAAATTGGTCAAAAAATTATTCCTTAATAAAAGGCATGGAAAGTAAAAAGCTTGAAAATGAGGAAGGACACATATTATTGCTTTACTCTTAGAAGTGAAGGAACCTATTGCTTTATAAAACCATTTCCAAGAAGTGATTCATTTCTGTCTCTGTCCAAACCAACCTACTTCTTCAAAGATCTGGACAACCCTATGGTCTACATTTGCAGAATAGGAGCTGTTATATTATTAAATAATATGCTTATAAGTATGCAATGCAATGCAATAGTTCTACAACCCTTATTTGCTGAAACAAGAGATACTTATAGTATATTTACATGAAAGAAAGACTACTTTTTTATGAAATGCAAAAGAAATCTCAAATGAAAATATGGGAAAACAGATCAAATAAAGGATGTTGTTTCCCCCCCCCACACACACACGCACCTTACTTTTCAGAGCAGGCGGGGAGCACTGACTTAAATTGAAGACATAATTCTTTTAAGTAAAAGTAAAAAAAAACCTCCAGTAACATACATGAACCCTAACATTTTTCCCTTTCACATATGTTGTTCAGTTATGGTTAGATTCCTTGAAAAGAGGAAAATCACTTCTTAGCATATCAGTTACAAAACACATCATTAAGCAGTGATTATATGGTAATGAAAGACTTGTTAATGATGATGCATTGCTTGTTGATGTCCAAATGAAATTGGATAACAATGAAGTTATGATTTTTTAATGTGCAAGCTTTACGGTACAATCAATAAAATTAATGTCTGAAGTCATCCTTCCTTAACCCTATTTTATTTAAACAACAAGAGCAGAACAAACTGGAGCACTGTTCTTTTTGTCAACTCCATTCTGTATGATAGCCTGCTCTAAACTAATCTCACAACTTTAAATCATACCCCATTTTCATGTTCTTCTCCAAGAGTTAGTATCTTGGTTACTGGACTTTCAGGAATGCTGATATTACTAGTAGGTGGCATATGATCACTCTTTATTATAGGTGTAGATCCTGAAGAAGGTACAGATTGGGAATGAGGCAGTAATAGAGATTGGCTAGATAGCTTGGTATCCAGTGTCAGGAGTGGTTTCACTTGATGCTGTGGAATTTGCTGAATGTGATACCTCACTGGATTTTCCAGGTGGGATTGAACCTGAAAAGAAGGAGAAAAATTCCTGAAATGTTACTTTTTCTTTGTAAGCCTGATATATAAATTTCTGATATGGAAATTTGATAGCAGTTATATTTCCACTTGAAATCTATATCCTTTGAATGTCAGTACAAGTAGATCATTATTGCTATTGCTTGCATCAGAATTATTTATGCTACATTCACAAACCAATAAGAAAATGCTGGTATTTCAAACCATTTTTCTTTACTCTCTAAATTTTCAATTTTTCAGTCACTATTCATTCCACTATTGGTGGGAATAAATATTTTGAAAAGATAATTAGGCATTATTTAATATATCATTACCATGCAACACTGTTTTAAAACCTTGTCTGAAATGAAACCTATCTACACAGTTATGTCCCAATAGGAAACATTCCAAAAATGGGCATTACATTAACAAAATAACTAATTAATAAGCATCTTTTTTTAAATTAGCTCACCTGATAGCAAGAGCAATCTGTCAAATGAGGCATTTTCAGATTTACCACAGATTATCCACGAAAATATATTAGATGATGAAAGTCTGACTTGACCAATACAGTATTCTCAGTGCTTTGCTTTAGGACTGACAAAATTTTGTGCAACCAAAGAGGCATTATAAAGTTAGTGGTCATGCCCTAAATGGCTAATTGTACAGTCCATCCTTTGATTGTGCAGATTGACAGCCACAACTTCAAATAACACTCATTTCAGAGCCTCTCCACATTCCTACTATTTATCTACTTCAAGGATATAGGCTATACAAATATGTACTGTTACATTCAGCCTCTGGCTTTCTTGAAATATTCTAGTGAGACTAATGAGAAATTTCTTCTAATTTTCTTCCAATGTTTCTTAAGATTTAAATAATACTGAAGCTTTTGTGTATTATATTTTAATTTACTTCTAAATTAAATGACTAATAAGAAATTTCTTCTAATTTTCTTCCAATGTTTCTTAAGATTTAAATAATACTGAAGCTTTTGTGTATTATATTTTAATTTACTTCTAATATTAAATGCAGTATGCAGTTCTAATCCTAGTTTTAGTTAATGTAATGAAATGATTTTTCAAGCAAGTTTAAGTAAACTCACATTCTTATACTAATTTTTCAGATACCCATTGCTTCCTCAGCTATGGTTATTTTATCTTGCTTTTACTTTTTTTCAAGTTCTATCCCATTACAGGTAATTATGACAAAATTTTCAATCATCTACAAATAAAATTGCATTTACAAAATAGAAAGTAACTGTGCATAGGTCAGAAAATCCAGCCAAAAATATTTCTTTATTTTAGTGGTGTTTCAGCACTTCAATTTGACTGGATCATGCTGCCAGTGAAGCTGTAACTGATTCACAATTACAGTTGAAATGTTCATTGTATAGTTTATGTAGCCAAATAAACAAACCATGGCTGTTTTAAACTAATTTTAATATGTGCATTCACTCTTTGATTTAAAGATATTTCCCATGAGAAAACATGTAATATTAAGTATTTGAAATAATCTTCTGGATTATATCTAGATGTTAGATATGCGTGTTTACTCAGAAATAGATCTATCCATCTGCATTATTATTATTATTCGTTAATATAACTATAACCTATTTGTATTATGAAATACAATCCTGACTAAATGTTAAAAAGAATGTTTGCAACATCCTTTATTTTCAATTTAACATTTGCTCACCATCATATTTCAAGAGTATCCTGCTATATCATTCTATTCAGCCTTCCTAAATTCATTTTTATCTCTGCATAGCATTTCATTTACATCAAAGAAATTTAAGTGATCTATCTGAAGGACAACTGACTCACCAGAACTAATAGTAATTAATAAGCATAGGGTACCTAATCATATAGAATGGTACATTAATAAAATGACCACCTTAAACCACATTTGATTTCTCCAATATTTATTCTTATAAATATGACCTTCAGAGAGCATCATATATAAGTTTAACTTGAAAACTAAAAGCATCTGCATCACGAGATTCTTCATACATGAAGAATCAGTTTCACCCTTTTATGGAGGCACAACCGAAGCACTTAATTTCTTTGTTCATCTTGGGATTTGAACATACATTGTTAGAAAGGTCCAGTCCCTTGATTATTAATAATAAAGCAGACCTTCTTTCATTTCATCAAGATGCAAGAGTTGCTCTGATGCTTTTGGCATTGTGAAAATAGAGGGGAAGGCACTGAGGGCTTTGCTTCTTTGTTTCTGATTTTCAAAGGAAAGAAAAAGGATTGTCCACTTTTAGGAGACATACAGGATACAGCAAATGCTAGGATCTTCTGTCTGCTGATATCTGCTGCTCTACATGGTAAAGTTAAAGGTTCCCTTGAGTTTTCAAACTTTCAACATGGAAGTAGTTCGCTATTGCCTTCACAGGAGCTGGCAAAATCTCCACTGATGAAGAAAAAGGCTAAGCAGGGGCAATTACAGTTAATTCTTGAATTAGACAGTATCAGAAAAGGCCGGGGCTGGAAGCAACACTGGAAAATAAAATTAAAAAATAAAAAATAAAATTCCAGCAGGATGATTACTTCTACTTTGATACAAAGAAAACTATATGATCATGTTCATGTGGTTCTCCAGAGGTTAGTTTATATGGTCAGATTGCAAATATTATTGCTGAGGGTTTGTTTTTTTATCTCTTAACCCTGAAAATAGAATCTTCTTTATATTCATCTTCATCAATAGCTACATTTGGATTCTGTCCTGTTCGGAATAAAGGTTATTGTGTGTAAAAGCTTTGAAGTTTAAACAAAACATTCATGTGACATTAAATATAGTTATTTATATTAACCTTTTGACATCATAATCCTCAACAAACTTTGAGTGAAATGAAAGTAACTGAAGAAACAACTATTTTCATGGTTCTCACTACAGCACGGGCTGCTCAAACTGCATTATTGAGCTGTCTATTTTAGTGTCAAAATCTAAAAATAGTTCTGGCATCTCCCTTTCTCTCTTTCTGTATACACTTCTTTATCATAGCTGTTAGGCATTATTAAATCTTCTTGTATTATAGTTCAAGAGGAACTATCTTTAGACCCTGAATTCCTTGCAATGTTTTAGCACTAAGACTGACAGCCAGTAAGTCAATTTAAAGCCAGAATAGTTAAA